GTTGTTGTTTTTTTGGTTGCTGAGTAATATTCCGTCGTATATATGTACCACATCTTTTTAATCCAGTCATCTACTTTTGGGCATTTGGATTGTTTCCATGTCTTTCCAATTGTAAATAAAGCAGCAATAAAAATGGGGGTGCAGGTATCTTTTTCAATCAGTGTTTTTGTGTCTTTTGGGTAGATACCTAGGAGTAGGATTGCTGGGTCATATGGAAGCTCTACGTTTAGCAGTTTGAGGAACCTACAGTTTTCCATAGTGGTTGTACTAGTTTGCATTCCCACCATAGACTGCTATATTTTTTAAGTTTCCCCCCCTCACCAGTATCTATAATCTCTTGTCGCCTTCCAACCACCCCCCAACCCTCTTAACCTCAGAACCCTCATGGTGTTTACTAACATCTACTAGTTTTCCCATGTAACTTGCTTTATCAAATCACATATTATAGAATGCCCAGTACTTGATTTTATCATTTTGACTTGTTTTACTAAACATTATTCTCTCAAACATCCTCCATTTAGTTGAAAATGGCTACGTTTCATCTTTCCTTATGGTTGAATAGTATTCCACATTATGGATTTACCACTTCTTGGTCCAATAACCCAAAGACAGACATTAAGGCTGCTTCTATATCCCAGCCACTGTAATTAACCGTGCTGTGAATGTTGAAGAACATACCATTTTTTGTTCTGATGGTTTCATATTCTTTGTTAGATAGATGCCCAAGAGTAGGATCGCTGGGTCTACAGTTTTTCCACTGTTAGTTTGAGAAGGTAAATCCAGATTGCTTTTCATAATGGGTGCACCGGTTAACATCCCCACCAACAATATAACAGTAATTCCTTTCTCCACACTCTCTCTAGTTCTTGTTGGAGCCATTCTCACAGGAGGTGATACCTCGTGGTTTTAACCTGCATTTCTCTTAACTAGGAGCAATGATGAACACTTTTTGTCTACTGGCATTCTGGATATCCTCTTTGGAAAACTGTCTAATCTGTTGCCCATTTATTACATTGGCTTTTTTGTAGTCTCAGGTCTTTATGACAAAAAGTCACAGCATTTCAAACTTGATTTAAAAATACAACAAAAGGTAACAAGAGGGGGCCTCCATGGTGACGCAGTGGGTTAAAGCACAGCACTGTGAAGCTAGCCGCAAGCCCTTCAAGTACAAATTTGATCCCTGGCCAGGCGGGGGAGGTTAACCTACATGGCGCAGCAAACCTCTTCTGTCTCCTTGCTGCTCCCCTCAGCAGTGTACTTCAATGATCTGCCTATCCTGCTCCCTACTCTGTCTCTGGTGAATTCTCTCACCAACCCTGCACTTCTGGCCTATACCCCAGTTCTGTATGCATAAATAATACTTTAAAATAAAAAAGGTAACCGGGGTGCCCACAAGTGACAGACACGGTCCCACTCCTTCAGCCGCTCTAACTTTGTCTCCACTCCATCTTGCCAACACCACTGTAATCAGTTACAACTGTGGAAACTGAGTCATTTTAAAGGAGGGTGGATTCTATCTGACTGGCAAGGAAAAAGTGCAGCGCCTTGGCCCTGGGCAGAGAATGAAGCAGGGATACTCCTTTCTTGATGGCACTGAGCAGCTGGAAAATGTGGGTTCCTGGTCACGTAAGACTCCAAAACAATGAACAGACTTCTTTCTGAAGTTATCAGTTGGACTTTTCCAGGTGAGAGAAGGCTTTTGAGAGTAGTATCAACTTGGTTCATAAAGGACTTTGTTAAGATACTTTCGGAGGCCTAAATAAATGAGTCATCTTCAGATTTGTGGAGTTCTGGAACTATTTAAATTGTCACTGGGTTTCCATGAAAAGGTGAAAGCCAGGTGGCCTGCTGGGATGACACAGGTGCCACGTGCTCCTCGGAACACTTAGCCAGCTGGAGGCTTAACAACAGTGTCTCACAGGCTCTGTGGTGGAATTCTGCAAACAGAAGTGAAGTAATTGCAGGGCTGAGGGACCTCCCCTCTTTGCCTCAGGCCTTTCCACTTCTTCCAGCTAGCTGGACATCAGAGATTAGTTATTGGGTGTGCAGGGGAGGGGCAATGTGCACCTGTACAACACCCCCATCAAGTGCCGCTCCTCCATCAGTTTCATGCTGCTCACTTTGGTCTCTTGGAAGTTGTCAGCTCAGAGTAGCCTTTTCAATACTCTAGTTGCTGAATTCTTTCAGTTTTTAATATACTTTATCAACTATATATTGTGTGAATATTGTCTACCATTCTCTGATTTTTTTAATCTTACATTTTCTTTTAGTGTGTAAAAGCTTTTGGCTCAAGGTAATTCAATTTGTTTTTATTTCCCTTGTCGTAAGATTTTGAGTCTCCAAAAAACATTTTATAGTTGATGTCATGGAGTAGATCACCAATGTTTTCTTCTATGTATTTATTTCTTAGGTCTTGTATCTAAATTTTTATAGTGACCTAACTTCTTTCTTTTATATGTGACTTTTCAATTTTCCCTGCACCATTTATTAGAAGCTATCCTTTCTCCATAGTATGGCAATAATTGTTTTATTATAGATTAGGTGTTGTTATGAATGTGGAGTTACTTCTGGGCATTTGATTCTCTCCATTGATTTCATGTATCTATTTTTTGTGCTAATACCATACTGATTTTAGCACCATTGTTAAATAATAAAATTTGTCATCAAGTATTGCGATACATCTATTTTTCTTCCTTTTTCCTAAGACAGCTTTTGTAACATGAGGTGTTAGGTGGCTCCAAATAAATTTCAATTTTTTTTTAAGCCAATTCCTTTGAAGAATACAGCTGTTATCTTGTGGAGACTATATTACATATCATTTTAGGTACAGTAGTCATTTTGATTATATTGATTCTCATTATCCATGAGTATAAGCTGTCTTTTCATCTCATGTCACTAAGTTTCTTTAACAACGTTTTATAGTTCTCATTGAATATTTACCTTCTTGGGTTGATCCAAAGATAATCCTTTCAATCGAAATTATAAACTTTTTTTTTTTTTTTTTTTGTGCATACAGAACTGGGGTACAGGCCAGAGGCTCAGGGGCGGCGAGAGGCTTCACCAGAGACAGAGCAGGGAGCAGAACAGGCAGATCGACGAAGTTCACTGCTGAGGGGAGCAGCGGGCGGGCCAGGAGAGGTCTGCCGCACCATGTGGTCACCTCCGGGGCAGGCGGCAATCGAACTCATGTGGAAGTGGCTTTAACTTCTTAGTGCTGTGCTTTAACCCGCTGCGCCACCAGGGAGGGCCCGAAATTATAAACTTTTTATCTTCTTGATATATTTTGCTTCTTGTTCACTGGAAGTAAAAAAGCTACAGATTC